ATACTGTCTGTTGTATAATAAATATAAAACATAGAACTGAACAGATTAATAATTCAATGCAAAGTAATGATATTCAATCTACAGTTAATAGCATCTTTACTTCATGTTTTCAAGAAATTAAACATGGAAATTTAATATGTCCACATCCTGGTTGTGGTAAATCATTTAATACAAAAAAATGTCTTAGTGTTCATATGCAAACTCATTCTGGAAAAAAACCATTTTCATGTAATATTTGTGGTATGAAATTCTTAAGAAAACATGATTGTAATGTTCATATGAGAGTTCATACTGGTGAAAAACCTTATGAATGTCTTATTTGTCATAAACATTTTGCTCGTCATTCTGATCTAAAAGTTCATGAAAAAGTTCATTCAGATGAAAAACCATTTCAATGTCCTTTTGTTGGTTGTTGCAAAGCTTTTAAAAGAAAACATGACCTTAAAAAACATATTACTTTTCATGTAAAACATTCTGTAAAAGAATATAGTGAAGTAATTGAAAAATCTGAAGAATTGTATCATCAACAACTCCCAAGTGCTTTTACTCCTGTTACTGACTTTTCTTTATATTCTGTTTATTAACATTCAACATTTCTTCTTTGTATTTTAATTTAACATTGTTATTTTTTCCTTTTTTATTTTCTTTATTTTTTTTGTTATTCTAAAAATAGAATAGGGTTTTTTTGATATTCAAAAAAATGAAAAGAAGATTTAATTTCTTCAATGTCAAGAGAACAACAAGGACGAAGAGTTGCTAAGAAAGAAATTAAAAATCGATTAATTACTAATATACAAGAAGCTGCTCAAAAATATAGTACTGTCTTTATCTTTTATACACCAGTTCTTAGATCAAAATTTATGAATATTATTCGAAAAGATTGGAGAGATTCTATATTTTTCTTTGGTAGTAATAAAGTTATGCAAGTTGCATTAGGTAGAACTGAACAAGATGAAATTAAACCAGGATATCATTTTATTGCAGAAAGATTAAAAGGTACTTGTGGATTGTGTTTTACTAATAAAAAGAAAGAAGAGATTTTGGCTTATTTTAAAACTCAAATTCATGATGATTTTGCACGTTCAGGAAGTGTTGCTACAATGGATTTTGTTGTTCCTGAAGGACCATTACCATTTGAAGGTTCACTTGAACTTCATTTAAGAAAGAATCTTTTACCTGTTGAATTAAAAGATGGAATATTATCATGTAAAGAAGAATATGTTGTTTGCAAAAAAGGACAAAAACTTACACCACAAGCTGCTAGATTATTAGAATATTTTGATATTAAAATGGCTGTATTTGAAATACGAGTGTTAAGTATTGTTCAAGATGGTAAATTTGAAGAATTAGAAAGTATTGGTGAAGATGAAACTATGCAAATGGAAGAAGAACCAATTAATTAACACATAAAATATTTTTGATTGATTTTTTTTATATTAATGTTATTGTTTCTTTCAAATAGTGTATTTAGTCAATTAATTATACGTTGTTTAATATGAGTTTTTGTTTCTTTATTTAATTTATTTAATAAGTCTTCAACTTCATCTTAATTAATTTCTAATTCATTTTTTGTTTTATTGAAATTGTTGATTATTTTTTAATTCTCTTTAATATAACTTTGGTTGTTAATTTCTTGATATTTCTCATTAATGCTTATGATTTTGTCTTCAATGTCTTTATTACTTTTAGCCTTTTTCATCTCTTTTATTACCTTATCAATTTCTTTAATTTTTCTCTCATATGAATTAATATTTCGACGTGTAGAAATAATGTTTTGTGCAACTTCTTTGGATGGTAATAATCCTTGTGCTTCATCTCTCTTCTCTTTTTCTATTGTTTTTTTTTTTTTGATTTGTTTCATTTTTTGTTTCTTATTTTAATTTTCTTGTTAGAATCAAATATGAGTTTATTTGTATTGATTCTGACTATTTCATTTTTATTAAATTTAATTCTTTGATCATTGTCATCATATATTTTATGTATTTTATTCTTTCTAGTGCTTTGACTTTTATTCATTCTTCATCATGTTCATTTAATTTCATGTTGCACTTGATTCTGTACCATTTCCTTGACCAAATCTTCTAGTCTATTGATTTTATTTAGGATTTCTTTTATTTCATCAAATTTATCTCTTATTATTTTATTTTGGAGATAGAGGTGCATAATCATTGAAATATTCATATCATCTTGCAGATCCTGCATTCTGCTTCCTGACCATATCCATCTATTATTAATTTCCATTATTAATCGGTCAGCTTCTTTTCTTTTCCAGTAGTAATTAATGTTAGTACATTTTTCTACTTTCATTTCTTTCATTTTATTGATGAGAGTGTTAAGGTATTCTTCATCAATTTCTGTAGAGTTATTCTTTAATATGATGTTTTTTATTATTGAATCACACTCTACTCTTCCTTCTATTATATCATTTACTTTCAATTTAATGTACTGTTTAGTGGTTTCTTTTATTTTATGTGATATTTTAATATATTTAATATATTTTTTTTTCATTATTTACATTGATGTTTATTACTTTTATTATGCTTTCTATTTGTTCCCATCTTAATTTCTTATATAATTTCTTATTTAACCAATTAATTGCAAAACAATACAACACTTCAATTAAAATTTGATTTCTTTGTTTTGTTGTATTTCTTGTCTGATTATCATCTCTTGTTTTTTGACAATCAGTGCTTTGCTTTCTTCTTCGATTTCCACTACTGCCTTTTTCATAGGAGTAGTTTCTTTCATCTCCATCGTTCCTGATGATGTTTTCCTCAGTACTGGTTGTGTATTTATCACAAGTGTCATCGTTTTCTTCTTCTCTAATTCCTTCTGTGAGATAAAATTTACAATATCATCTTGTTGTTTTGATATTATTTGTTTTTGTGTTTCATTTTCTTTTTGTGTGTTGTCTAATTCTTCTCTTGTTATTTCTGCAATTTCTTGGTTTTTAATTGCAATTTCTTGATATTCAGAGATTTGTTTTTCTTTATCTCTTAACTTACTCTTCAGCTTCTCAACTTTCTTCTCTAGTACTTCCGCTTTTTTCTCTAACATACTATTCTTCTTCTCCAGTAATTCTCCTTTTTTCTTCAGCTCTTCTGTTTTCTCCTTTTGTTCATCATTTTCCTTCTGTAACTTCCCTTTAATGGTTTTCAGACTTCGAATGGTTTCTTCTTTGTTATTCATTTCCATGATTTTCCTTCTATCTTATTTATTTTTCCTTGTAATTTTAAATTTTTTTCTTCTAATTTTTCATTTTCTTTCTTCATTTCTTCATAATTCGTTTGCACTTTCTTAATTTCTCTTTTCATATTTTCTATCTCTTTCTCAAATTCTTTTCTGACTATTTCTTTTGCTTTTTCTATCATTTCATCTGAGATGGTTTGTTCTTCTTCCATTCTTTTTGCTTGATATTCTTTAATTTCTTCTTCTAATTTTTTAATCTGGTTTTGTAGTACTTTAATTTCTTCTTTTTCTTTATAATTTTCCTCTTCATTCTTTGTTTCTTCTTTGTTTTCTTATTATGTTTTTCTT